AATACGTGAATCAAACACGTGACCCTGCGATGGAGTGGAGACCATTCATGGATTGGAATTGCAGAGGATTGGCAAATGTTGAATGGTGCTAATAGCAGGACATGAGTCAGGCTAACCACTCCGAAGGAATTATTTGTGGCTGTTTTAGAGCATAGTAGGTCGAATTCAGAGCGGGAATTGTGAATACTGTGCAACTCCAGGTGTGAATACTCTATTTGTGACCTCTAGTAATATCTTATTTGCTGACACCAGGCTGGAAGGACATAACGCATTAGAACAAGAAAAACCCATGTGACCTATCAAACTGGCTTCTTTCACAGAGCTGCCCACTTTCCTTTCGTCCTTGCTGTCTAAATACTCTCTGATCCATAAAATTCATCTGGACTCAATTTCTGCCCTCCACTATTAAACGCTGGCAAACTGCCCTCCACAGAACCCACACCTGCTGTTTTGTGTACTTTGAAGTATTTGATAATCCAGGACAGGGAGAAGAAACCTTAGGAAAGTTTCCTTACTCCATACGACTCTGTTTACCTAGCAGTAAGCAGGAAACCGGTTGTTAGTCAGTTGGCAGATCGCTTTCTGGGGGTAATAATACCTTGCAATAAATAAATAATAATTTGGTCACTCAAACCATGGCTTTTTGCCCACTAAATAGACAGTCAATCCACTTTACAGTATATTCTACGAAGCACTTTGTGACATCTCAATGACATGATAAAGCGCTATATTAAGTGAAGGTTTATTATTTTATTTTATATTATTTTATTATATGATGATATATTATATAATAATATATAATATTATTATCATTGCTTAGGCGTTTGCCTATGAAGTACACAGTCACTACTTGTGCAGTAAATCCTGTGAGGCACTTTGAGATGTTCTCCCCATAACAAATGCCTGATTTTTCTTCTCTCTGCCTATCCCACTAACCTTTAATTCTGTTCATACCCAGATTTTTAGCCATTTCTTTTTTAAAGGAGTTGATTAATGCAACATTTTTCTGGGTTCAGTGGGGGAAGAAGTTTTGGCTCCTCTGTTGTGTTGCTTGAAGCTTGTTAAATTCTAATCCTAATTCTGTGCTCAGCCAAAGTGAACAAACCTGCTTTACATCTGTGTTATCTTTGATCTAATAATATTAAAACCTAGGATCATGTACCTCCTAAATCATTGCTTCTCCAGTCTTTGCTCTTTCCTCTCAAACCTCAAATATGTTGTCCCACATGTTCCTCCTCCTCACTGTGTTGAAATCCAAGCACATTGCACCATCACCTGCTCTTCCAGTATTAAGTTCCTATGAAATTCTTTACCTCACATGAACTTCCTTTTCCTATAATGTACAGCTTTTAAAACTCAAACTTGGCTTTGCTCATTTGATTTATGTTACACCTCCTCGCCTGCTTCTTTCGTTTTTTTTTTAAAAAATGCTTGTATTTGATATAGATATATACATGCTAAGCATGAACACCATAGATAAGTGTCCTTAGGAACGAGGAACGGATTAAGATATGATTCACTTAAAAGTTTGCAATCAATATGAGGCTTTTATCAATGCAGCCAGTTTAAGGACTGGGAATCATAAGTGGTTTCATTTTAAGGCGAAACTAGTTACCATAACAGTGGGCTATAACTTGCTCCCTAAATTAAGTTTTCGTAACAGAATATGAATTACAATAAACTCCTGAAAACACTACCCTGACTTAACATGTCACTACCCCTTAAGTCATCAAGCTGCCAATATCTCGGCTGTATTTATTTATGTATTTATACTTATGCCTAATTTGCCATTACTCCAAGGGTCCTTTCCCCTTGGAGTTATCAGGAGTTTGCTGTATCTGTACGCGCTGGAGCAGACCCTCCCTCTCTTCTCTGATGTCCTTTTCAATGCTGCTGTCCAGAAACCGGATTGCACATTCATCTTCCAGCTTGCAAACGCTGGGTAGTGCATTGCAACTTCATTGGAACTGAAAGCTGTAACCCTGTTAACCGGCAGTCAAAAGCCATTGTCATTGAGAGTGCTGCTGGGAGAGGGGCAGTATTGGTAGCCAGAGCTGATCTGGGCAATTCATATTCAGTACCTATGGAACCTCTTAATTTAGATGACACATGAAGCACAGGGTGTGCCTCATGGGTAACAACAACAACAACAACAAGATTCCATTTATAAAGCGCCTTTCACGTCAGGAGGACGTCCCAAGGCGCTGCACAGTTGGGTCATGACCCGAGCAGGGGAAATGGTCAGGGTGAGGGGAGGGAAGGGAGGGAGCGAGGAGGGGGGAAATGGTCAGGGTGAGGGGAGGGAAGGGAGGGAGCGAGGAGGGGGGAAATGGTCAGGGTGAGAGGAGGGAAGGGAGGGAGCGAGGAGGGGAAAGAGAGTCGAGAGGGTTGGAATATTGTACTTGGGACTTTGATGTGTTCCAGACGGTTTGGAGAGGGGCGTGGATGATTCTGGGACTAAATTCACGCCAGAAACTCTTCAAACTCTGAGATTATTTTCACTGGAAAAATTCTGATTGACAGGGTACATGATCCAGGTTTTAAAGTGCTAAGATGCTTTGATAATGTGGATATAAGCAGGATACAGTATTTAAATTGCATTATAATCTAAGAAAAAAAAGGAAACTTTTTCTTCAAATGAACAAAATTAACCAGACTCAAGCAAGATCAGAGATTAAAAGATTTATTTTTTTCACATTGTGGAAGAAATGTATCCTAGTTTCTAATCAGAAACAGTAAAGTTGTGTAAATGAATCTGGTAAATAGGAGCTGAATGAATGTTTCAGAGCAGGGTTGAAGATTAGGCTGAAATAGTGTGGGACTCTGAGCATGTCCTCCAACATGAAGCCACCTCAGGACTCACTTCTGTATGTTCGAGTATTAGTTCACTTGCTTCAGCTTTTGAATTTTTGCATCCGAGAAATAGTTTTACCAAAAATGTCATAACTGCTAATCACTACCTTCATGGGATTAAGTGGTAAAAAGAATCAGCTGCCATTGGGCAATTCAGCTTGGCCGGTGTGAGTGAGGCTGCCAATAATATAGTAAACGGGAAGATCACCTTCACAGGAGATTATCTTTTAATTGAACTCTTCCTTTTCCATATTGGCCTTCAAGAAAAAACTAGACAAATAGCTTAAAAAGAGTCAATTACAGGGGATGGGAAAACGGCAGGTAAATGGGACTGAAAGGTTTGCTCTTGAAGGATCCGGCACAGACACAATGGACTGAATGGCACTCTTCTGTGTTATATGTTTCTATGGTTCTCTGATGACCTGGTGTATGCGTGTATTAGATGGTTTCTCCAAAGAGCAGCAATGCTCAGATGGTGATAAGCTTTCACTAGGAAGGTTAGTTAAGGCCAGAACTTGATGCTATGGTGGGAGGACGGTAGGGTGAGTGTTCTGGAAGGATGAGATCAAATGAGCAGAAGGGCCTTCTTCATCCAAACCCATCTTGTGATCTCCAAGAGGCGATCTTCCTGTTTACTGTATTATTGGCACTCACACTGGCCCATTTACAGAGAGGCAAGGTCAGAGCCTGGAGCTGGTTCTCGGCCTTTCCCAAGTTTATTTCTTCCAGATTGTACTAAAACAATCGCTAAGGACAATTTTATGGGTTTGTCGAAAAAAAAACTCTGATGTATGAGAAAAAAACTCCTAAGCCTGAGCATATGGAGAAAGGGGTTGAATGTAAAATGAAATAAATGTCTCTTGCATGTTGGAAGATTATTGCTTTGTTTCTGGTTTATCTGGAAAGAGAAAACAGTTCTTCAATACTGAAATCCCTCCTCTTGCCAGCGCTGTCTTCACATCCTGCTTTAAATAATCAGTGGGGCTTCTGTCTTATTCCTGTCTTCAGTGCTCTGTGGAATTTGTTCCAGGATGTTTTGACTCAATGCCTCAAGTCTTCCTCAGCTTGAAACCCATTGGAGAGCTGAAGACGGAGAAAACTGGAGGCGGTGAAACATCCTGGAAGAGTTTACACACAGGACTGGAGATGGGATTGTGGCTGAAATGCAATTAATTGTGCATTAAACTCTGTGTACTGAGGAACACAATACAATACATTCATGTAGCACTTTTCATGTTCAAAGGACACCACAAGATGATTAACAATAATGGCTTCGCACCCGTTCTGGGGGAGGGAGCCAAGGGGGGTGGGGAGGAGAAAGATGCCTGAAAGCACGGTCAGAGACGTAGATCTTGAGACGGACCTTGAAAGGGATGAGGGAAGGTTTGAACACTTGGAACATGCACGTGTGGCAGCAAATTGTATTCTGTTAAAATCTATTTTCTTACTTGTTCTTCATTGTCTGTAGTGAAGTGAGTTGTGTTCTCAGTGAAATTCCACTCCTTGCCCTTTTAAAACCCCTTGGGATGTCATTGTCTGATATTTATTTAGGGTGCTGTGGATTTCTGGTAAATGCTAAAAATAATACAGAATCTTAATGTATCCTGATTGTTTATAATACTGAGTTTTCCGTTCACCACTATCATATATATATATAATATTTCGCCCACAAATATACGGTCAATTACAGTCTATTCTGTGAAGCGCTTTGAGACATCGAGAAGATGTGAAAAAGTGCTATATCAAATGCAAGTATTATTATATTGCAATTTGTAAAGCATTCTGTTTGAAGTTATAAAATCTACTTCACTGTTATACTGCTGCTAAAATTCTTGTATTGAATATCACACGTCAATGTCTCAAAGAACTTCATAGGATCTACTGTAAAGTGTAGTAACTGTGTATTTGTAAGTGATCATGGCAGTTAATTTGCACATAACAATGCCCCACAAATAGTCATGAAGTTAATGAACAACTTTTTTTNCTTTGGAAGCTTGTTGGCCAGCACTCTGGGAGAAACTCACTTCTGTTTTTNAATAGTGCTATGTGATCTTTAACATACACCCAAACATAAAACAAGAACAAGCAGATCTTTGTTTTTCAATGTCTCATCAACTAGTCCTCACTTCAAGTCTGTTCTCTTCCAGAAACTGGCTTGGGCCGAACATAAGCGGGAATGCAAGTGTCTGAGAAGTGTCTATCCAAAGATTCCAGCTGATATGGCCAGACTTGTTGCAAGGATTATCTTCAAATCAGTAAGTCCCGCAGCAAACTATGTCAGTATCAGCCAAATTTCAATGAAACTTGTACAAAAATCAATTTCCAAACCTCTCTTCCAGCTGCCTCCTTTTCTCTAGCAGTACATCTCTGAATCATTTCACTTTCTGCAGGGTTGGAAGAAATCCTGTACACCTTCCCAGCACTTGTTCATCAGATTTTTAGTGTAAGATTAAAAAAATTACACCACTGTCACCACATCCATTTAAATAAGGCAATCAATTCCGAGGCTCCTGATAGTCCACCTCCTCAATTCTATTGCTGTTTCTTAGGATTTGTATCTGTTCCTTATGCACGAAAGTCAATTAAAGTAAAGCAAACTAGTGAGTGGTCTTTAGTATGCTATTAATTGTAGTTGGTGTTCAGTTGTTGTTTCATTAACCAGGAAAGTAATAGCCAGTTTCTCCAGACAGCTTCTCGAAGAATAATGATGACATCTCATGCACATACAAATTGTTGTTCTGTGATTTTATGGAGAAGCCCAAATTTAATGAAAAGATCATTAATGTTAAAGTAATGTTAATGATCTGAAGGGGAAGTTTCTGCTTTAATTTGTGTAGCTGCATTTGTGGTTGTCATTTAGTTGGCGGGTTGCTTTTCTGGGGGTAACAATCCCTTAAAAAAAAATGTGGTCACTCAATCCACAACTGTTAGTGGGACACTGCTGTGTGCAGTTGGCTGCTGCATTTCGCCCACAAAATACACAGTCAATTCACTTTACAGTATATTCTGTGAAGCGCTTTGAGACGTCTCGAAGACGTGATAAGGTGCTATATCAAATGCAAGGATTATAATTATTATTTAAAAAACAGCCTTCTTCACCCAAACAAATATTGTGAACTACTTGATGCAAGTAATTCAGGTGGTGTCAGAGAGACTTGTTCACCTTTGAAGACTAGGACAATGCTGTTGGGATGAGTCAAGGGCAATCTTACCTTTTATGCAAAGGGAACAATGTGAAATTTGATACGGGAACAACTATAACAGATTATATGGACCCTTCACATGAAGTAGGATCTTGGTACACAGTAATAAATTAGGAACAGTTACTTGCGTGTTTTAGTAACAAAATAGTGCTTGCATTTGATGTTGTGCCTGTAACATTGCATTAGCTTAGAATTGTTGTAGGTAACATCAGAGCCACTTTACACACAGCAGATCCCACAAATGGCCATGAAGCGAATGATCAGTTAATCTGGAGAGTTGTTGGACAGAAAACTGGAAGAAATTATTTGTTTTTGAATAATAATAATAATAATAATAATCCTTGCATTTGATATAGCACTTTTCACGTCGGGAGGACATCCCAAAGCGCTTCACAGAACACACTGTAAAGTGAATTGACTTTTTGTGGGCGAACGCGGCAGCCAATTGCGCACAGCAATGTCCCACAAACAGTCGTAGATTGAAAATGACCAATTTATTATTGTTTTTGGTTTTTGGAGGGATTATTATTAGGCTCTGTGTGGAGTAAGGAAACTTGCCCAAGGTTTCGCCCTCTGCCTGGAATTAAACTTGGGTCTTTCGCTTGCAAAAGCGAGTGCTCTAACCACTGAGCTACAGGACTCCACAAAGGTAGGGCTTTAAAACCACTCTGGTTGCACCACGCACCAATTTCTCTCAATAATTGAAATATTATTCAATTATTTATTATTATTAAATTATTATTTGAATAGTGTTACAGAAGATTTGAAAAGGAGGTGGAACCTTGGGTTAATGGTTTTCCACCATACTTAGAGGCTGGTGGCTGAAGAAACAATTGTGCATTTATTTATTTTGCTCTGATGTTAAGTGTTTATGTATATTCCACAGCTATCTGCGTCACCCTGTTCTTCTGAGGAGCTCTATTCCATCTCAGAACTTCAGTCCCGTGAGTACATTGTGCTTTTGATAAGCTTCACTGTGAACAGTTTACTAAAATTACAAACGTAGAACAAACCTATGATATTACAGAATAAAGTGGAACAATTTGCATGGAAATTATTTCATGTGCTTCTTTCCTGGTTTCACTAAAAAAAATCGCAGCAGTTTTTTTCTTAAAAAGGCAGATTAGTGGAGCTCAAAGATGCCTGGAAGGCGACATAGCAGCAAATGTGAAACATAACATCAGAAAATATCACAGCGAGAGGTAGTTGCAGGACAAGCTAAATTCCCAAACAAGTTATAATCAAGGGAAAACAAGAGATAGTAAACATTTAAAATAATGGAACTCAAAATCTACAGGATTCCATAAAGGTTTAGATTTGTTCCTGTCAACTAAAAGGATTCTGGTTATTGAAATTAGAAATCTCTCAAGATTACTTTAAAGTAATCTTGAGAGAAATTGGATGTCAGCCTCTGGAGACTGATGGAATTATCACTATGTTACTATTCGGAATGGACAAAGCTAATTGTAAAAGCACCAAAAANTAAAGTTTCCAAACCACAACCCATTGTAAGTGTTAAATTAAATTCAAGAAATACATTTGCCAGTGAGGACATCCTGAGTTCTGGCATCGCCCTCACTGGTGATGCTCAGTTATACGCTGCTGGCTACAGTGCTATCACATATTTATAATTTTTAAGCTACAGTCAAGTGTGTCTTCAACAACCATTCGGGAGATTGGGCCAAAATGGCCTTTGCATATGGTGGCCTCTGAGTAAGGGTTCGTTGATGTATTAACTGAGCTGTTCTAGGGTCGTTGTTAACAGAATGGCGTTCAATCCAGTTAACAAATTGTTTGAATAGGTTTTAAAAGATTGCAGGCGGGGTCATCCAGTGGCTTCACACGCAGAACCTCATCACTATGCTCAAGAGTATCCAAACCAGACAAAGTTCAAATATGTATGGGACCATTCATGGAATATCCTTGTGTCTGGAATGGAATGCACATTCTCTCCCTGGAGGGATGTACCCTGTTTATCTAATTTCTGAGCATGTCATGCGCAAGTTGGAAAGAGCCAAGGTTTTGAGTACTGGTTAGTGGAGTCCTGTAGCTCAGTGGTTAGAGCACTCGCTTTGCAAGTGAGAGACCTGAGTTCAATTCCAGGCAGGGCGAAACCTTGGGCAAGTTTCCTTACTCCACACGCCTAATAATAATCCCTCCAAAACAAACCAATAATAAATTGGTCACTTTCAATCTATGACTGTTTGTGGGACATTGCTGTGCGCAATTGGCTGCCGCGTTCACCCACAAATATACAGTCAATTCACTTTACAGTGTGTTCTGTGAAGCGCTTTGGGACGTCCTCCCGACGTGAAAAGCGCTATATCAAATGCAAGGATTATTATTATTATTAGGTACTGCTGGAGTCTAAGCAACTAAAACCGCGTAGTTTTCCATTGACAGCACTGTCTGGCAAGCTTTCCAACTGCTTCTCCAAGATCCGCCCTTTGGTTTGCAGGGTTGACAGGAGATGAGTGGGATGACTCTCTGCCCCCAGTGACTGGTCTGGCTTCCAAGTCCTGCTGTGACCAACCTGGCTCAGGACCCAGACTTCTGAGACCACCACAGAGAGTTGATTCAATCCAATGTACTGATGCCAAGCGTGTCACCTTGGAGCTAGCTCAGTTCCAAGGAGACCCTGCTTAACTTCGTCCATCCCTCCCCACCCCGAAGGCAGGCATAAAGGAAAAGCCAGGGGTTTGAAGCAGATTTCAAATATCTAATAGAATTGCTAGCAATGTGGCTTTATATAGTGAATCTCAATAAAAAAATGACAGCATTCATCAGAATATTTATTGAATGATTCCATATATTATGCCACTTACTTATGGAAATTTCCCTGTGTCTGGAATGGAATGTGCAATTGTTGCCTGGAGGGAGGCACTCTGATTCTGGAGAGTATTAAGTGCTGTTTGGCAAGAGTCAAGGCTTTGGGACCACAGACTGTGTGTGTGTGTTGTTGGGGTACTGTTGGGGTTTAACCAGTTAAAACCGCAAGGTCCCCTACCCATTAGGACTTTGACTTGCAGGGTTAACACAGATCTGCCGCTCCAAATCTTGCCGGTGAGCCAGGCTGGCTGTCCTGTCATCAGCAGTGCTCTAGAGTACTGTGAACCTGGCTGGCTCGGTAACTGAGACTGCCACAGAAGGTTGGCTCAATTCTGACACTCTTTGGGCAAGCATGTCAAACAGGAGCCAGTTCAGCTCCCAGGAGACCCCACTGACCTGCCCCCCCCACAATCATTTGACATCTGACAAGTGCAGGTTAGAGCCCTCACTTGGTGCACAGCAGGTACCAGGAACTCCCTGCGAGCTTCCTGGTAAGCAACACAACTCAGCATGAAACGGGTGAGAGTATTGCCACCATTGCCCGCAGTTCAGACACACAACCATACTCACTGAACAATGGTTCCACCATATTAAAAAAAATAGTACTGTTTCCATTGTACAGGGAGCAATTTTTTCTTGACCGGTCAAGGTGACAAATAACATTCTGTCTATCTGTGACCAGGGCTCCCTCTGACTCCTCGTTTCCCTCGACCTCTCTGCTGCCTTTGACACTGTGGATGAATCTTTCCTCCTCCACCGCGTCTCCTCTCACCTTAACCTTCGAGATTCTGTCCTTGAATGGTTTAGGTCCTATCCTCCTCCAGCCCTCTGCATCGTCTTGTGCAATGTTCCTCAGGACTCTGTCCTCAGTCCTCTCCTCATCAAGCTGTACATGTTCCCACTTGGTGACATCATCCACAGACATGGAGTCAACTTCCACATGTATGCGGATGATACCCAACTCTATCTCTCTGCCTCGACCCCAGGACCACTGATGTCCTGACTGACTGGCTGTCAGACATCACGTCCTGGATGAGAGCCAACTTTGTACAGTTGAACCTAAGCAAGACTGAGGCCCTCCTGATTGGCTCGTGCCAGCGCCTCTGCACCTCAAGCTCTGGCAGCATCAGCATCCATGTTTGCACACTCCACCCCACCAAGCCTGTCAGGAACGTAGGTGTCTTATTCAACCCTCAACTATCCTTTCTCCCCCTCATCCATGCCATGACCCACTCTGCCTTCCCCCACCTCTGCAACATTGCCCGACTCCGCCACTGCCTCACCCCTCAGGCTGCCAAAACCCTCATATACCATTCGTCACCTCAAGGCTCAACTCTGGAGAATCCCTCCTTGTCAACCTCCCCAACTCTTCCCTCCACAAGCTGCAGATCATCCAGAACTCTGCAGCTTGTGGCCTCTCCCGCACCAGGCTTTGTGATCCCATCACACCCACTCTCGCCCGACTCCATTGGCTCCCCATCCCTCAGAGATCGATTCAAAATTCTTGTGCTCACCTTTAAAGCCCTCCATGGCCTTGCCCCCTCCTACCATTCCGACCTGCTAACCCCTTATCAACTAGTCCGCCTCCTCTGCTCAGCAAGCTCCGGCCTGCTCCATGTCCCCTGCCCACCTCGATCTCTCCCTTGCCTCCTTGAAGGCATGTCTCAGAGGATCCTCCTCTTTGACTGTGCCTTTGGCCACTCTCCTACCCGTTCTGCCCTCCCCTCTTTGACCCCCCCCCCACCGCTTGGGTCTGAATCTCTGACTGTTCAACGCCCTGGGATGCCCTCCCAATGTGAAAGGTGTTTACAAATGTAATTTTGTATTGTACACAATGCAGAGAAGAAGAATTTTCATTTGTTTGCTCTCAGCCATCTGTTCCAAAGGCTCATCGTTACGGTGTGATGTGCTGTCATCGAGTCTTGTCCTCCAACACAAGTGAAGCATCCATAGACTCCACTCGTTCACTGCAGAGCAAATCATCCAGAACTGTTGGCTCTGATTACTACACATAATAAATAAATGCACTGAGCCTTTGAGATTGACAAGGTACCAGTGTTCATCCTTACATCTATGCTGTAGTAATTTTATGCTAGACGGATGTTTCTCAATTGGTTTACTTTTGCCAGTGGCTCCGTCTTGTATAAACCCAAACAAATCACGCTGTTTGCATCCAATAATTGAAGAAAACAAACCCTTCCTGTAGCACTCTACCACTTTTTGATTTATTTTCCCTTTTCAGAGTCTCTTGTCTCTTTTTTTCTCAGCGCTGAGTTGAGTCGTCAGAATGTGCTGTGTGCTTCATGTATGTTATTTAACTGTCAGTCTTGTGAAAGATGTGCGTTTGTCCCCACTTCAAATTGAATTGGGGAGTGGATGTGTCTAGACAGCACAGATGCATGAGACACATCTTTTCATGGTTGATGTTTGAGTTTCGCTCATTCTTTCCCAGATATCAAAGAGATGAATGAAGAGATGATAGAAGGCCTCAGGCATCTTACAGCCATGCTACAATTTTATATGAAAGAGGAAATTGAGGATACATCCCAGCTGCCTCCAGGTTTAAATCCTCTGCATCTCTTCGGTCAAGTAAGTTAGAAACCTTAGACCTACTGTTACGGTGTTTTCTCTGAATAATCTGGCATTGCTAGTTAGTAGTGAAGTAGTTTGGTATATTACTGATCTGATGCAGTATCATTAAGCCAAGTCTCTGTGCACTTTAGCAGATAAATGCACCTGACAGCAAATTGCTTCTGCTTTAATGGAAAACACTGTAATCACGTTTACATGCTTTCTCGGGTCCAAGTAAGATGTTGTGTTACATATTGCCTACTACCTGACAATCTGCAAGCTAAGGGCCTTTGAGTTGTGGGACAGCTATTTATTGGCATGGCTGGAAATGCATAACACTCAGTCTCTGGGGTCCTTTATCTTATTTTGTGAGCTCTAATGCCACTCTGCATTAACAGAAGTGGCCAAGAAAACTGCCATCAAAGAAATAGTTTGCGGTCAATTAATGCGTATTCACTGAAAAAAATATTTATGAAATGAATTACCTTTTCAGTGTGTATTGCAAATAATACAAGATAGCTGTCAGTGGATTAAGTCAATCCAATCTCTGGGTTTGCAGGGAGAATATTAACAATTTTAGCTTCCTTCTCATGGTTTGTCATTTGAGGCCTTCAATTGAAATGCTGCGTTTGTAATTCTCTTAGAGCGATGGTATCTCTGCATTTAATATATACCTATTATTGAAAATCACAGTGAGCCGCTCTCCTAGTTGCGTGATCTCGATTATGGCAGGGTTTTTATTGCTGAACTCTCTTCCCCCTTGCTTCATGTGCACACCAGCAGAGACTGTAAAATGACTGATGAAAACAGGCATGTCCGTGCAATGACTGGTAACTAGAAATGCAGACAAACTGTGTGTAACTGGAAGACGGAATGCTTGCTTTGTAATGTATTGCAATTTTTAACCAGCAAGATAGATGTTCAGGTGTAATACAAATGAAATATTGTGCTGATGTTGTCATTAAGTAAAGCTTCTCAGTATGGATGTCACTCTTGTGAGATTTGCTGCAAATGTATCATGAAATTCCATGCCTAAGATGGTTGTAGTTGGTTTGTGGTTTGAGTGACTTTGCACTGAAATAGCACCTTTGATTTATATCATCTGAACTAAACTATAATCTATCCATTGTCATATTTCAATGCCAGTGCGTGATTTAAACACATCGGCTTTAAACTGAACGTTTCTTCAGTTGGTGCTTGTGCAATGGCCAAGGTAAATTGTGGTCAAATTGTGGTCCTGTAGAGGCGAATAGTTTTCTGTATTAGGGGTGGTGGTCAACGTGACGTACGTTTGTGGAGTCCTGTAGCTCAGTGGTTAGAGCACTCGCTTTGCAAGCGAGAGACCTGAGTTCATTTCCAGGCAGAGGGCGAAACCTTGGGCAAGTTTCCTTACTCCACACGCCTAATAATAATCCCTCCAAAACCAAAAACAATAATAAATTGGTCATTTTCAATCTACGACTGTTTGTGGGACATTGTTGTGCGCAATTGGCTGCCGCGTTCTCCCACAAATATACAGTCAATTCACTTTACAGTGTTCTGTGAAGCACTTTGGGACGTCCTCCCGACGTGAAAAGCGCTATATCAAATGCAAGGATTATTATTATTATTATTATTATTACTTCCCATTGCCGGGAGGAGTTTCCTATTTTTGTGCTTTGAATTCCTTATTCAGAAAATCAGTCAATAGATTCCATATGTCATGGTCATTAGTCATAACAGTGGTAACCTCCCACCAAACCCATGTGTCCAAGATAAGTTACCAGCAACCATATTATGAGGATTGTTACAGCTGCAAGTCATTTATGTGATTGTCTGAATTATTCAGCGACCTACACTGCCCATTGTGCGTTCTTCCTTCCACTCCTGGTGACTTGGCTGCTTTAGACCTACGTTGTGTCGGGCAGAAAGAGCGAAAGCTTTATACTGTACAACGAGTGATATTGGGATTTTCCTGATTTCATTCTTACCCATCCCAACATCTCCAGTTCGTATCTGCCAAGCCCCCACACCATTGGGTGCGGTGTTCCTCAGGGATCTATCTTTTTTCCTCTTCTCTTTACTCCTCACCTACATGTTCCCGCTCGGCGATGTCATCCGGAGGCATTGGGTTAACTTCCACATGTGTATGGACACCCGACTCTATCTCTCTGCCGCCACTTCTGACCGATTGCCTGTCGGACATCAAGTCCTGGATGAGAGGTGTTGAATGTCGACCAGACACAGGCTCTCCTGCATGGCTCCCGTCATTGCCTTCTCACCTCAGTTGCTGACAGCATCAGTCTACATGGATACACACTCCACCTCAAGCACCCAGTACAGAACCTGGTGTTTTGTTCAACTCTCAGTTATCCTTTAAACTCCACATCAATGCCTTGACCTGTTCAGCCTTCTCCCACCTCCACAGCATTGCCTGCCTCCGTCACTGCCTCTCCCCTCGGGACCCTTATTCCTGCTTTCTCACATTAAAGGTTTGACTGCATCATCTCTGCTCGCTTGACTTCCCAACTCTTCCCTTCACCAAACTGCAGCTCGTGTCCTCTCCTGCACCAGGCTCCTCAAGCCTATCACCCACATCCTCGCCCAGTTCCACAGCCCCCAGAGGACTGAGTTCAAGATCCTCGTCCTCACTTTTAAAGTGCAGTGGACTGTGTATATTGTAGACAAACACGGCAATTTGCACATAGCGATGTCCCTCAAACTACCTTGAAATGAATGGATGAAAGAGGGATGCCTCATATTGAAAATAAATGCAAATAGAAATTTACATTTATATAGTGCCTTTCAGGTTAGGAGGATGTCCCAAGGCACTTAACAATCCTGGTTTTGTACCCGACCTGGGGGGTGAAAGGGGCTGAAAACCCACCTACAGATGGTGGGGCGAGCAGGGAATGTGAAACAGGCTGGTGCTTGCTGAACAAAGGAAACAAACAGGTGGGAACAGCTTGAGGACATCGCAGAGGTAGGGGGTGAGACAAGACCATGGAGGCATTTAAAGAAGAGGATGAGGATGTTGAACTCAGTCTGCTGAGGGAATGGGGAGCCAGTGGGTCAGGGCGAGGATGGGTTGATAGGTTCGCAGAGCCTAGTGCGAGAAAGGACACAAATTGCAGAGTTCTACAATTGTCTGCAGAAATAATGAGACGTAACAAATAAGTAATGCCTTAAAAAGTTAAATGTAAATGGCTTTGAGATAGTTCTCTTAGTTATCTAGGTGGTTGATATTGCTATTGACTCGGTGACACTGTGAAGTAGCCCTGAATCATCCTACGAATGATCTCCGACTTGTGTCAATTTAATTAATTTATTAATTAAATTTGATGTTTACTTTGATAATGCAATCCACCTCTGGAGCATGTAGCCTGGCAGGGAGCTGTTTAACTTAACACTGGAGTACTGGCGAGTATCCAGATATCAGAATAGCTGGGGCAGTCCAAATTGGCTGTCACGCTTGTCTGCAAGTATACAGTCACCACACTTCAGAAAATCTCTGAAAAGCTGTGAGATGTTTTGACGTGTTAAACCCTGTATCAATTGCAATTTAATTTATATTAATTTAAGATGGTACTTGCTCCTCATGTTCTCAAAGGCAGCAGCGAGCAGTTTAAAGTCCGTTCACGGAACCTGGACAGGAGACTTATTTACTTTTCAATAAAACTTCCAAAATTGAACAGACATGTCAAGAGTCATGTAAAATAAAACTGCTTTATTAGCTGCGATTAAGTACAAAAGGGTAATGTCATTTGATAACCATGGTTTAATCATAGATGCATTCACTGGGCATAATAATTTCATCATGGGTGAGAGATTAACATCCAAACTATTGATAACTTCTTCAACGTTGACTGAAACCCCACATTTGTTTAGTTCAGAATTAATCCTGCGAGGGTGTGTGCAATATCACACAACCTATAAAAAGGTGATCAACAGCTAATCTAAGGGGTCAGGGGAGAGGAGGGCAGGCCGGATGTGCACATGCCATTCGTGGTATAAACAATTCAGCGCTGTAAGCAAACACGTTTTAACAGGGATGTTCTTTACTTACTCAGTCAGATATACCAATGACCACGTGCTCCTCAGCCAACTGGAGCCTTGGCTCAACGATTTTTTTATGTAATACTAGCTGTACCTGTTGCAGTTTCGCTTGCAACCAAAGGATCCAATATGGAATGCAGATTGACACACAGACAGACATTTTGTCTTTATCTAAAGTCAGCTGGGAGGACTCCTGTGGGAGGACTCCTTTTGACCGTGCTGTTCATTGAGTTGGCAACTCATTTTGGTGCGTTGTTGGAGTCCTTTCAACATTGAAGTGCAGCTGAGCTGTTCTTCAGTTTAATTTAATTGGCCCTTTCTCTATTCTCTGACAAAAATGCATTTTTAATCAGTATTGCTATATTACATTACTCCCTTTCTTTGGTCTATCTGTCCAGCCATACAGAACAGTCGATTAATACAACTTAATATATTGTAGACAAAACACAAAATACTGCAGGTGCTGCTGACTGAGTATCTCACTTCCTCTCACCCCACCTCCTGTAAAGACTCCATTCCCTTTTCCCAGTTTCTCCACCTCCGCCGCATCTGCTCTGACGAAGCCGCCTTTCACGCCAGAGCAGCTGAAATGTCTTCCTTTTTCCTCAATCAAGGATTCCCACCCACTGTAGTAGGTAGGGCCCTTGACTGTGTCCGTCCTATTTCCCGCAACTCTGTCCTCACCCCTTCCCCCTCTTCCCAGAACCGTGATAGGGTATCCCTGGTCCTCACTCTCCACCCCACCAGCCTCAACATCCAACAAATAATTCTCTGCCATTTCTGGCACCTCCAGTGTGACCCAACTACTGAACATATCTTTCCCTCCCCTTTGTTCTGCATCATTGACACCGCTTTAACCCATCACCCCCTGTCCTCTACCCCATTTTCTCCTTTGTGTTTCTTGCCCTGCCTCCCCCCTCTCTGTTAGCCTTTAAAAGTCTCTACCTCCCAACATGCCCCAGTTCTGACCAAGTGTTTTGGAC